ATAGATAGATAGATAGATAGATAGATAGATAGATAGATATACACTTTTTTCCACAACAGAGTGCTTTTTTTTTTTTTTTTTTTTTGCGGAACCGGGGATTGAACTCAGGCCCTTGCGCTTGCCAGGGAACAAAATGGTCTTTACACTTTTGTGAAGTTAGTAATGCATGACAGCTACGTTGCTTAGCAACTGATAGCTAACCTTAACCAGACAGGATGTTCATCTCAGGGTAGCTTGTTTGCTTTAGGCACTGGGCCAAGTCCCACCTACACATATTTGATCGATTTCCTAGCTTTGTGGTGCCCAACGTATTCCCCTTTTTCTTTTTGAATGTTGTTTAACTTTTGGAAGAATACAAACTATGAAAACTGTTGCTAATAGTATCAGCTGTTTGATTTTAGAGAGCAAATATGAGTGATTGGCAATTTTTGCAGTTTAATTCATGAGGATTTTGCCTCAGAAGAGAATTTAAAGTTAAATTTGTAGCTACCATATCTTTCTTAAGCATTCTGATACTGTAGTGTAGTGCTTGTGTTCTAGCACTTTCCAGAAAAGCAATAGCTGTATAAATTATTTGTCTATCTTAATTCTTTTTATGTTTTATTTGTTCAAATCTAGTAGAGAAAAACAAACTTTCATCAAATGTTCTTACCAGTTTTCAGACAAATTATAGGCTATATATGATGATCATTTTATCCAAGCGATAGTATACTTCAAAAGTAGTTTGGATGGAGTCTTATAATTTGTTTAGAGAAATACCTGTTATTTGAAAGTTTCCATATTTTAGCTCAGTTGGACATTCAAATGAGAATTCATTGTTCACATCTTTTTCTTAGGACATAGATACCCTAGATATCCCAGTTCTTTTTTTTAAAATGTATTTGTTACAGGGTCTCACTACACAGTTCAAACTCATAGTGATCCTCCTGTTTTCAGCACCCCCAGTGCTGGGATTATAGGAGTGTGCCACCACTTCTGGCTGGCTCAGCATGCCCGAGGGTGGGGCCAACGTGGCATGTGGTGCTGAGGATCAAACCCCAGTCCCTGCGCTTGCCTAAGCAGGTGCTTAGTCTGCTGAGATATCTCGTCAGCACTGACATCTCAGTTTTTCAAAGATACGTTTTTATTGTATATGTTTATTTCTCACACGGATACTGTTTCATATTTGCATTTTATTCTAAAACAAGTATACATACAAGTAAACTTTACTTTTTGATCTTCAAATGGCACTTTTCACTATTACAGAAGTAGTAAGAAAATTTTTATTGTTGAGATATTTGTATTCTTTAAAAAATATATTTATGCATCATTTGCCATCACTGGTACCTCTCAACTTCCCCTTCAGGGGATCAGAAACAATCTGTAGAGTGGTTTCCTTACAGGGAAAGCTCTCTTCCTATCTGGTGTTTCATATTAATTTCCCTAGTTCTGAGCCATTTATCCTTCTAAACTTTGGAAGATACAGTAGTTGTAACTTACTGTTTTGAGCTATTTTTCATAATTTAAAATTTTTAGAAGATATGTATTATTCATGATTTATTGTTACATTGTTTAACTTTGGGAAGACTATAAGCTATGAAAAATGTTTCTAATAGCATCAGCCATATTATAAATAACAAACTGTTCACCAGCTGCAAGAAAATCAAATGTTCTTTAAATACAAATGTAACTGTTTACTGGATGCATGTGGTTTAAAAGTTGACTTAATTTATGTTATCCATTGTATAAGATGAAACTCTAATTTAAACTTGGTTTTTGTTCAATTATTTTTTTCATCTTTTTTTTTAGTACAAAGGATCGATCTTGGGACCTGAGACTTATCCTGCAGAGCTATATCCCTGGCCCTCAAATTGTTTGTATGAAGATGCTGTACTGTTGGCTCAGGTTTTAGAAAATACTATTTCACTCTTTTCAAATTTAAAATAAAATTAAATAACTTTAGCAATGAATGTCAAAGCCTCAGATTTTATTTCACCTGATTTCATCGTATTAAATAATGAATGAATTTTAAGGAATTAATTTGTTAAAATTAAAAAAGAGCCAATCTAAAAAAAATACAAAAAAGGAGCCAATCTAGTAAATGCTGTGGCTTTATAGTTTCAATTCTTGAGTTTTAAAACAGGTCTGATTTGATTGATAAATAGATATATAGGCACAAAGGGCGATAGCCTTAAAGGATACCCCAGGGGACTCACAAGATAATTAAAGAAACTGAGTCAGTGAGTTTTACTTGTGCTCAAAATTTTTGTTGCTGGCAATATCCTGGATTATGAGAATGTGGTAGCAAATGTCAGTGCTTTCCCCATCCCACTTCATCCTATCTAGGTTGCTGTCTGCCTGACAACTCTGGCCACTCTTCTATCTTTGGGGTGAGAAGTTTCCCTGTTATGTCTCTTGTCCCCTCTGTTTTCAGATGACCCAACTTTCATAGGGGAACCCCTTGAAGTGTCAGTGTGACACCCAAGTAGCTTTATTCTCCAGCTTCCGTGTTTGCCTACCAAGGACCCAAGAAACTCATTTGTACTGCTTTCCAGCAGGGTGTCATGTGGCTGGGTTAGTGGAGACAAACGGTCCCTGCCTGAGGCACCAGTGATGATGCAAAATAGGCTGGGATGGGGCTTTCAAGTGGCATGGGACTTGAGTAACTTGGCAGCCCTTTCCTATTCAGTTTGTGAAATTTTAATTCAGAGACATTCACGTACTTGCCATCCTGTAAATTTTTCAGACTTAAAATGATTCTTCCTCTAGCTTTGCCTCCTGTGACCTTCTTTGACCCTGTCCAGCAGAATTCTGCAACTTGAGCTCTTAGACATTATATGTGTGATTTCTATCATCTGAATGTCTTGTAATAGTTTATATTCAAAAGTGGGATTTCCAAAACTTTCAAATTCAGGCCTCTCTCCATAAGCATAAGAATGTCATGCCCTTCTGTAATATTTGAAATTTAAACCCAAACCACTAACAATGTAAGTAAGAAAAATAAAAACACTGTATTTTCCCAGCTGTAGACCCTTCCATACCTTCTGCTATATTTGACATTGGCTGAAGAAATGGAGTAGGTTTAAATTTCTGGGGGTTTTCTGTAGCTTGACTCTAGGAGGTGCTTACCAGGTCCTTTGGACTGATATGAGGGAGGCTGTGGTACATACAAGACATACAGAGCAGGGCCCTTTCCACTTCATTGTTTTTCAAAATTTTAGTACTAATTATAAACATTTAGAATCCTTCCTAGAGATTTTTTTCTTTTTTATTAATTTTATTGAGAAACAAATAGCAATGCGACAGTTTCAAAACTGATTAGTAGGACAGTTTCAATAATTAACACAGTGCATATTGTTGTCTTCATAGGGGTTATTCATAGTACAAGATGCAGACATGATATCCTATCCAAACACTATTTGTACAAATCTTTCTTTTTTTTAAGCTGTTGGTTCAAGTATTTTATTTTTTCCATAATTTTATTGAGAAATAGCAATGAGACAGTCTCAAATCAAATTGGTAGGACAGTTTCAATAATTAGCACATTGCATAGAGATTTCTTAATATTAGCAGCTAGCTGTTTAGCACTGAGAAACACCTGTTGTTCTTGATGTGGTTACAAAAAGGAAACAAGGTAGAAGTAACAGATGTAAAGCAATAAGGTATAAAACAAATACATTCCTATAAGGTGCAAAACATTCCTTCTATAGAAAATACTATTAGAAATACTGCTGAAAACATCACAAAGAGTCGAAGAAACAGATACTAGGATAAACTGCAGTGTGGAAGTTCTGCCATCCTGTTGAACGAAAATACAGATTTTCAAAACATGTCAGCTTCTAGGGGAAGCTGATGGTGCTTTTCTGGAAGGAGCAACTTGTATTCTGTGCAGAGGTGCTCTTCCCCCCTCGTGCTTGATGAATCCCTCCCAGTACAGTGCCTGGTTAGTTCAAAGTTATCACTACTCTCTCAACTTCGGTATTCTAGTTATCCTTCTAGATATTTTTGCTTTTTAGACAAGGGTGTGTATTTTTTTTAATTCTTTTAACCCTGTGAGGCCCCTTATGGTTCACATTTGCCAGTATACTCTTTCCTATGTTCACCAGTTTCTCCCTTCCAGCAGAGTCCACTAAAATCGGTATTGCCCTGAATGCTGTCGCTACCAGCTGAATTTCCACACATCATAAAATCCAGGTTTTCACCTTGGTAGTTTGCTCACTTTGTAAGATGATGGCCCTAAC